GCATGCAAGCACACACGCACACAGATGCACCAACACGACTGCACATTTGCATGCTTGTGGATGCGCACATATGCACGTGTAAAGTTTTGTGTCAGTAAAATAAGCTTAACAAAACTGGAGATGACAAGTAACTCATGTTAGCCTCCACATGAGGTGTCATGACGGGCAATCGAGTAACAAAACTCCCTATGGTAATTCAAGTTCTACTACTACAACTTCTGCAAACCTCCTTTCAGAGTCAACATGTGAATAGATATTCTTTTTTTTTTCTTTTCTGTTACTGTCACATATTACAACCCTTTCAATTGGTACATAGTACAGTTGTCTTTGCCATCAACATTTCTTCTCAAATTAATTAAAATCATACATCATGGAAAACAATAACTGTGTCTAAATTAGGTAGTTACCGTGTGTAAACTACATATCTGCAGCCAGTGAAAGCTGGCCTCTGAACTCATTCGATACTGACCAGTGATGCTTTGTATCCAAAACCATTTTACTGCGAAAACCCCTCAAGCATCAAATTTGAATGTGAAGGCTGTTTGAAAAAGATGGACTATATGATAACATTCACGTGTTAGGAGCAGTGCTTGAACGTGACAGTCAAGTTTTTGGTTTCGACCAGAGGCTGCTTTTCATGTTACGTGTTTCTACATTTGGCATTTCACTGTTGTTCATGAGGTGCATGTATTTGTAAATCTATCAAATGTGTCGCATTAGTTTGATATTTCTTGTTCCCAATACTGACATATTAAACACATGCAATATCACCCGAAGCTGCATTAGCTTCATGAATCATGAATTGCCACTGCAGTTCATGATTGTGCCATGATTTGCATCTGAGGATATTGTCCATGCTATCAAGTCATATCACAGCAGGGACTCGCAGAGAAGAATAAAGCGAGTCACTTAAACCATCCATCTATTTTCCGAACTGCTTGTCCTCACCATGGTCACAGGCGAGTCACTGATACTTTTTAATATAAATGCAATACTTCTGCATAACATTAAGGACCTTTCTACCGACCTATCTAGCTATCTAAAAGTCAAAACAGACCAGGGGTCTAATTGAAACATTTCATTTAACTATAACTACATACTGTCACGCTCATCATTAGGAAATGGACCCAAGTTGCTTGGACAGAACTCACGCGTCATCAGAGACTAAAAAAAAAAAAACCAAACGAAATAACATCCAACATTCACCACATGATCACCTGTGACTCTTATATCCACTACATGTACACATTGATTTTTTGGGAATGGTAAACAAACCAAAATATACAGACCAAGAAAAAGAAACTAAAATATCTCGGAATGGTTATGGTTGTCTCAACCAATCGTGCGAAATAGCATTCAAACTATTAGAAATACAAGAACATGCAGTACAAGTCTCAATTGTATATTTGCAATTATTGTTGGTGCGCTTAAGACAAACAAAATATATATATATACCTCGCAATACACGGGATTTACTGTTGAGAAAACAAAAACATTTTCTGATTAGTGATACTGTTACATCTTAAGCTGAGAGTGATAAAATATCAGTCAATGCTTAGATATAGTGATTTCTTACCTTTTATTCATTTGTATGATGATGCCTACATGCAGCTTTTTGCTTTTCAATTCCCACTTCCTGAATCACATTACAACGTTGCCATTCTCCACCGTGCAAACGGGCTCTTCCTCAGAGCTGTGGCACAGCTGCTGATTGTTGAGCATCATAAAAACTCTGTAATCCAATGACCCTAAGCTGCTGCTATCAATCCAACAAACCACCAGCAGGCAGATTTGATGGCAATGTGTCCCCTGAGCCTGAGCACAGAGGGCCCGGCGCACTACAAAGCCTGGAGCCTGTATAGCTTTTACTGCGAAACCACTGCGGTGCCATTTAATTTTACAGATGGGAAGTGGGGGTAAATGAATGGCTACAGTGTGGTTCTGGTGATCATCTATGACCACACATGATGATGCATTTGTGCATATATGGGTATATGTAAGTATGTACAGATACATCTCATAAATTGAAATACTGTGAGGGGCGGTAGGGGACTTTATTTGTGTAGTTGACTAAAAAAGGGAAATTCATTCAGAACTCACGGTGCAAAATACTTCAACTTGTATATTTACAGTTGACCCCCAACATAGCTAAAATTCATTGGACAAAATAATTTAACCCCCCCCAAAATTGTACGAATAAAATCTAAATATAACATCTTCTTATCTGACATTAATGAATAAAAAAAATGCATGACTGCCCGTCATTCAGCTGGCTGGGTCTTAATGCTCAAACTATTGCTATATTGGTAAGTCTTACTTCCCAGCTACAAGTTCCTCACTTCACATTGTGCTCCTGCTGAAGTTCCCGTGCCCACAGGCTGCAATGATTATTTTGTCTCACATTGTTTGTCCACTTTTGTCTGGCATGTATGCTGTCCAAATTCTGCGTTATCGACACAAACTGGATTGACTTAATATGAAATCCCAGCACGAGAATAGCTCATCACACATTTGGAATGACCGCAGTATATCTCGTATCAAAGTTTAGCAAAAGTTGAGTGTGTCTGCAGTCAACAACAGAGCTAACAAATAACACACCTGCCTCCTGGCATCTGTGACTGGCTGAATTTGCGTGGCCACGCTGAATGATGAAAGCTATTTCGAATTAAAGAGATGTTAAAATTAAATACAGAACACACATACAGTAGCTAATTCTTTTTTTTAACCTAAATAAAATGGTTTCATATATATATATATATATATATATATATATATATATATATATATATATAAAGCAGGAAAAGTAGTTCGGAGCCATCAAGGCTTGAATAATGGTTGGTGTTTATTAACTTACTCCAAACGGATATTGTG